ATATATATATATATATATATATTTTTTTTTTTTAGGTGTAGATGCACACAATACCTTTATTTATTCTTATGTGGTGTTGAGACTCAAACCCAGTGCCAGGCGAGCTCTGTACTACTCAGCTACAACCCCAGCCCCCTAGATGGGTTTTTGAAGCTGCTCTTTTGTGACTTGCTTTGTGTGTGTTGGAACCCATTCTCTGTCTCTTGGTGTTGGTGTTTTCTTTGCCTTTGTAGTTTCTGTAGCCTGTGGATGTAAAGAAAGCTAAGGGACATGGGGATTTGAAGGAAGTGGTAGAATGTAGTGCCTAATTAAGGTAGCAAGTCCCAGATCTTTCTTTAAGGGCTTGAGAGTAGGTTTAATTTGGTTTAGTCTGGTTCTTTAAAAAACATTTTTTGGGGTGTGTGTATGTGTGTGAATTTATTCCTGATAGGTAGCTGTCTGTCACTACAATCTATAGGCACAGATGACTCTAGTCAGCTGAATGTCCCCTGTTGGCCACTAATCAGTGTGGTAGGGTGGGTCCTGGCACCTTGCAGCACTGTGGTTTGGGGAGGTTTTCCTTCTTACCTCCCATTCTTTGTACATTCCATCAAGGTGGCAGTGTGCTATAAGGAAAGATCAAGATAAGCATTTAGGTCCTGATTCCTATGCATTGCTAGTCTAGGTATGAGATCTGAGAGCCAGCAATTGGTATAATAAAGTAGTGATAGTTTTGAGAAACGCTTTGTTTTGTTTTTTCTTTAAAGTTGACACCTATTGGAATCTTTTTAGTAGCGTCCATTTAATGTGGAGTGTTTCTTAGGTACTGGGATGTTTTTGTAGTTTTCATGTTCAACTGGAGGTAATGAATAAAGGCTTTACTTTTAGTTTTTGAATTTAAAGGTTGTGTATGTGTGGTGTTGAGGATTGAATCCAGGGCCTTGCATATGCTGGGCCACTGCCCTACATCCCCAGCCCAGTTTAACGTCTTAGTGATCATATTTACAGAGATGAAAAGATGGCAGCAAGTCTACTCTTTTCTCCACCTCCGGGAAATCAGTAGCAGAAACCAAGTCAGTTCTTCCACGAAGCTGTTGGATTTACGGTTGTGTTCCTGAGACTTCCAGCAGCCAAAATGAAGCTTCTGGGACTTAAAAGAAGCTGGCGGCCAGTGCCTCTTACACACTGTCTCCTCCCTTCCATCTTCTGACGCCTTCAGCCTGGTAGCCCTTCTGTCCACTTGAAACTCTTCCATGCCAGATGGATCTCCTCTGCAAAGGCTTGTCCCTTCCCCATTGCTGGTCATCCTTTGAGTAAAGTTTTGGAATAAAGCCAGATGCTGACAGCTTCTTAAACCACCCTGAGCACTGGCTAGACATGGCTGGTCTTCCTGGTCTCCACCTGCCTTGCTTGGGCAGAGCGGCCACCTATAAGGACCCTTATCAATCAAGGTCAGCTTTCCTTCTGGTGGGGTGTGTTTGTGCTTTCACCTTCTTTTGCTGTTCCCATCTCTTGTGCATTGTCTTTTAAATTGCTGCAACATTCAGAGTCTCCTCAGGTTCAAGTGTCTAAGTTAAAGCTGTCTGTGATTACCCACTTTTGTGAGGAGGTGGTGTGTGTGTAGCATCCTTGATGACAAGTCCCTTGGGAATTGGCTTTCAGTTTATTTTCAGCTCCTCCTCAGGCCAGCATTTCCATGGGGAAAGCTATTTAGGTGTGGCATCATAGCATGAGAGGTTTGTCTCATTCGTCCAGGTGCCAGTCCCATTAAAATCAATTGTTCTCAGTGATATAATAGGAAGAAGTTATGTAAGGTTAACCAAGATGCAGCACTAAGTGCTTCTAAATTGCATTTTATTCAGATGGGATCATAGCTTGGAGATTCTTAACAGCTGTTCTGTGATTTTATTCTTTGTCCCTTGGTCTCCCACCCCATTTCTAATTCCTAGGTCTCAGTAGCCACACAGTGTTTCTATCTGGTCGCTGCCTGACTCAAGAGCCCTTTCACCTGATGAGGGGTGCGTGTATTATACACCAAAACCCTTGGGTGCTCTTTTGGATAGCACCTACTCTGAATGACCTTGGCCAAGTCACTGCCTCATTTTCTCACTGCATTGAGGTTGAGGTCTGTCTTCTAACCCTTGAAATGAGCCTGCACAAATGGGGTAACCAGAAATATAACTGGGTTGCACCTGAAATGGCTACTTAGTTATCAGCAGACAACATTCTGATGTGGACCATCAGAATCAGAGCTAACCCTCTCCCTTCAGTACTTTGCTTTCCTGCCTCACAAGGTGGTACTACATCAAAGAGTCACCTTGTGAAACTGAATTATTAAGCCTCTGCTTAGTAGTAATCATGAACCTTCTATCTCTGCTACTTTATAAGAAATGTAGTAATGCACCTGTAAAATAACAGCTGCCAACCTCCATCCAGGAGGGAGTGGAATGAATATTTACCTGTGTATGGTTGTGTGCTTTCCAGTGTACGGCAGACTTCTTTTGAAATTTCCCCAAATGCAGATAATGAGATTATGAATTGCCAGGATGGTAGAGTACAGCTTTAGTTTTATGGTAACAGGTCTAACATTATAGACTCTACTGTGTGCCAGGCACTCCAAGTGTCTTGTGTGCTTTATTTAGTGCTCATAACAACTCTACTGGTGAGGTGCTATTATTAGCCCTATATTTCAGAGGAGGAAACTGAGGAATGAAGAGGCTAAGTAACTTGCCCGGTGTCACACTGCTGATAAGTGGAGGAACCTAAATACAAGTTGAAGTAAAAGTTGATGTTCTTACCTGAGAATATTTAGGTATAGGATTTGTACATGCTTGCTGTATCTGAGCAAGTACTCTGATCAAACAGGAGTTAAAACTGTGGTTG